TTTATGCACAGGGAGACAGCTCAGGGGGCAGGAGTGCATGGAGGGATGGACACAGGGAAGAGGTAACTATGGGGAGGAAGTGGGAGGGGAGCAGTTGCATTGGGGTTAATTGTAGTCAATGTCATGAGACAAAGTGCATGTGAAGTGCTGTATGGAAAGTGAATTTGCTCTGTAAGTTTTCACCCAAATCACAATTTAAAAAAAAAAAAAAAAGAATCTTCAGCTCTGTTCACACTGTCTAATGTTTGTTAACACATCCAGCTGAGGGGAAATGGCTAGCCTACTGTCACAGGAGAACTTCTCCTTAGAAAACTGTCTCTATAGATTCTTTTCTTCTTCTACCTGAAAGTTATAAACTAAGGATTAAGATTTTGCTTCTTACTCTTCTCAGCACTGAGTATATTCAGATAGTATATTTTATTTTAATATAAAATAAAAACCTGCAAATCTCAATCTATTCTAAAAAAATACTTAAAAAGTGAAATTAAATAATACATAAATGATTTATTCTGTTACAGATCATTAATAAAAAGACAGAGACCAAGAAACTCAATAGACCTGGTATCAGACGAGTTCTCACCATCAGAATGAACCGTCTTGGGGTGGAAGTTCACGGCTGTCAGACGGCCTTTCCCGAGAGCTACCCCGACAGACCACACCTCCCCAGCTCTCAGCATCACTGCATGTGGTCCCCTCTCAGCAGCAACCCCGAGCCAGTCTCAGAGCAGAGAACGGCCCGTAGCTCTGTAGCAGCCCCCATTAGATTTTCTTTGGTTTGAGCCATGCAATCAAGAGCTTTGCTAGACCTGTCGTTACTTGGCCGGCTCACGCATCCCATGGTATTTGTCTTCAGCTGTAGAATGACAGGTAAGAAACTTTCTTCAAGTAAGAAATCTCAAAGAAGTTGGTATACGCACAAAGATTCCTGGGAGTGCTGAAACTGAAGGACAGCAGCAAGACTGCTCACTTACACAAAACAGAAAGGCTTTCGTGTTTAGGCACGGGGCGGGGGATGGAGGGCAGTAGTGCTGGGCCGTTAGGGTTAGCAAAACTGCAGACGTCCAGAGGTTTAACTCACTCTCACCCAGCATGCCCGATTTCACCACTGACAAGTAAGTGCAAACGCTCATCAAGTCTTTGGGGTGTGGTCCAGGTAAGAACAGCAAGCACAATGCTTTGGGGGCATATTCAGAGATAAGACACGCACAATCATGGGAGATAAGACGTGCGCATTCTCCCACGTAAAGGAAAGAATGGACCCCACAAGAGGAGAGACAAACCAGATCCCAAAACACCAATGTCGTGTCAGAGAGACTGAGGGTGGGCCCATCAACACCTAGCGGCCCATGAAGGACGGGCGAGGGCACCAGGAAAGGCTACCTGTGTCTCTGGGCCGCCGCAAGCCCGCCTCTTTTGTCATTACTGCTTTAGCAGGCCCTTCTAGGTGTTCACGGGATTTGTTTCTGTGGCCAGAGCATCAAAGGGCTTTCTCTGAAGCCGGCTTCTTGGGAGTCGGGCTTCTGGTTAATGGTGCGTACTGGGAGGCCTGGAGGGGCAGGGGCTAAAGGAGGAGACAGGTGGTCTGAGCGACTGCATCCCACTGTTCACGTCACCCATGGATCACCATGCAGAAGGGGTCACCTGCTCACAGGTGAACTGTGGGTGACCCATGAAGCCACCGTCTGTTCTGAACCTCCCAGATTCAAGGAAACCAGCAGGGAAAGGCTGACCCCACAGACATGACCAGGCCACGGCCAGTACTCCGTCAGTCTGTCAGGTTCAGCAAACGGGCTGGGCTTGCTCCCAGGGCCCGTTCAAACACAGCTAAGCACAGCCGTATTTTAAGGGTCTCAGGAAGGAAGGTGTATCATACCCTCACTGGGGTCTGCAGGGGCATATCTGGATGCTCAGCCCAGCACTGTGTCCTCACAGGTACCTATCTGACAGTCCCCACGCATTCTATGGGCCATGCCGGATGGGGGCACTGCCCTGAACACCCACCTTGACCTCCGCACTGTCCGGTAGGCACTGGGGAGGGCGTGCTTGGCTTTCGAGTGTGACCTGGACCTGGACTTGGATGACGAGTGGTACTTGGGTGAGCGAGATCTCGTTCGAGACCGCTTTTTGTGCTTTTTCTTTTTCTTCTCCTTCTCTTCTTCCCGGGGTGGCTCTCTGCCTCTGCTGGAAGGTCGGCCAGGCGGTTTTCCTTCCACAGAGGGCAGGGCTCTCCCCACAGCCGGCGGAGTGCAAGCCGTGGCACTGGGCTCCTGGGAACGAAGCAACACTTGGGTGAGAACAGAGATGTAGACAGGGACGTATGTGTCCAGGTCCCAAGCCCCCCATGGACACCTTGTTCCAGGACCACTACCCCTCCTCTGGCTCTGCCTGTCGTAGAAGTCCCCCAGTGCCAGGGGAAGGCGGCATGGAGCCACCCGCCCAGGACTCCTTAGGTGCCGAGGGATCAACTAAAACACTTCCCTCCACTGTCTGACTTCCTACTCAGGAGCTCCTCTGCCAAGTGTAGGGCTGGAGACATGGGCTATAACAAGAGGAGCCTGTCTGAGGCTCTAAGTGAGATGAGTGCTCCGTCTGCTCTGAGAAATAATCCCGCTTCCCACGGAGAAGGAGGCCCCGGGCCGACCCGGTTGGCTGGGCACCCTTGGCGCTCTGAGGTGCCTCCAGTGTGTAAGGCAGCAGCACCCTGAGGAGGCGCCCAGCTCCACGGGCTTCCTGCAGGAGCGCAGGCCGTAAATACAGCCAGCGGGAGTTCAGGAAGGACTGGAGTCAGCCTGCAGTCCCCTTCCCCTCTTCACTGAAAAGCTCACTCAGTTCACACGAGAGGAATTCTGACCACAGCCATTACCCACCACATGCCAGGGCTGAGCTGACTCCCACCTGCCACTCAGCCAGCAACTCTGCATCCACTCAAGGCCACAGGCACGCAGAGCGTTAACTTCTCAGGGAGAAACAGGCTTTTCCCTCCCCCCTCTTCTCGGGGCCACTGATGGGCTGCTCTCCTTCGGCTTTGCCCTGGTGGGGGGCTCAGTGCAACCGCTGGGCATCAGACAGCCCTCCAGCAGCACAGCACCGGCCTGCTACTCACGCCTGCAGCTCCCACCTTGGGAGCAGAGACCCGCAGGGAGTGGGAAGGAGTCCTGGGGAAAAGGACTCCCCGGCCAGGACCTCCACAGGCTTTCCGTCGGAGTGGCTCGGGGGGCTGCCAGTTCATCTGTGGTGTTGGTCCCCCGGGAGGGGCACAGACGACACGCTGACACAGCCGGGTCCATTTCTAAGGCTCCACCCAACTACCTCCAGGGACAGGGGACCTGGTTCCCTCCAGAGAACCCACTTCACTGTGGGACAGTTCTTACTGTCACAGCTTTCTCAGACCACATCCTTTTAGATTAGTGCTATTTACAACGTTAAATTCTGAAACACTTTGGTGCTAGAGCAAACATAACACTTGACTGGAAGCCTGTCTGAGTAAGAACAGTTAGTCCAGAGCTGTCCAAGAGCCACTCCATAAAGCCTCTGGTCCAGTCAGTCAGCTTTCTAACTTCAGAGGCTGCAGAAGGGAGTGCCGGCTAAGCGCTCTGACTCACCCCATCCCATGTACACTCGGGGAGACGAGCACCCACACAAACACCAGAAGTACATGCTAATGCTGCAAACATCACCTAATAACAAATTGTGTAAAAACCAAAACACAACAGTCCCCCACTCCACAGACTCTAGACGAGCACATTATGTGGAACACAGACCAAACCTGGGGGTTGGAAGGCTGCTCAGAATTTGTGTGACATCACTCATGGGGCTGCGGGATTGACTGGACCATGAAGCATCCAAGTACACAGACCATGGCCATCCAGGCAATTCCGACCCACAGCGCCCCCAGAGGACAGAGTGGAACTGCCCACAGGGTCTGCAAGGCTGTCAATCTTCACAGAAGCAAAGCCCAAACCACACCCACTACCTGGAGTCCATTCTGACCCACAGCACCCCTAGAGGACAGAGTGGAACTGCCCACAGGGTCTCCAAGGCTGTCAATCTTCACAGAAGCAAAGCCCAAACCACACCCAATGCCAGGAGTCCATTCCGACCCACAGCGCCCCTAGAGGACAGAGTGGAACTGCCCACTGGGTCTCCAAGACTGTCAGTCTTTACAGAGACAGACTGCCTCACCTCTTTCCCGTGGAGTGGCTGGTGGGTTCAGGCAGCCAATCTTTTGGTTAACAGCCGAATGCTTTACCCACTGTGCCACCAGAGCTCCTCATCTAAGTACCCAGACCATGAGAAATGGAGGAACAAGGGCAGATGACGGAGACTGTGCCCACGAGCTCTCAGCTGGTAACTGTGAAAGCCTGAGCCCCGCTGTAGCCGTCTGGAACATATGGGGCGCTTCCCAGGGGAACGGAAACATCCATTCTCAGAACCAACACATACATCCCTTCCTAGCAATCGTTGGAACTGGGCTGCATGAAGGTGGGGAGATGGACAGACATGGCTGCAGGTCACAAGTAGCAGGAGGCCGCAGATAAGCCAATGTGAGGGCACAGGAGACCCAGCCAGACACAGAGGGGAAAGGACACAGGGAACTCCTTTGCTGAGCTGCCCTTCACACTTTTACTGCCAACCTAAAAATGGGCCTCTCTGACCTGTGTCATTGTCTGCTGCCTTTGTCTTCACTCGTGCCTGGTGCTAGTGATGCCTGTCCCACCAGTGTGGCAGCGACTGGTACAGCTGTGAAGCAAGGAGCTAATCTGAGTATTTTCAAAATTTAACTTGCAATCAAATCATGGGGCCTTTATTCCAACAAAATGATGATCCTTTACCATTCAGGTGAGAACTGGGCCGATTCGTAATTCTGAACTCCAGGGACCTCTGCCAGGCTGAACGAGATTCCTCACCATGCCGACCTCTCTGTTTTTCTACCTTGATCGTACTAAGAAGATGTTGAAAACCCAGTGCTCAGACTGGGGAACAAAAAGCAGAGGACACCCACCACCGTGTGAGGAACCCTGGCACCGAGCGAGCCCTGGCGCTGTGGGGACTGTTAGGTGCTGTATGCTTCACGGGTTCTGAGACATCCCTACCCCTCACCCGTTGCCATTTCTGACATTAGGATGTCCAATAATCAGAAGCATCACTCTTCTTGTCAGAGATCCCCCATGGTCCAACCCATACCCAAGTCATCGTCCCCACAGCACCCCTGAGGTGGGCCACGGGGCTCTGTCAGAGACCCACCACAGTGCACCCACACGACCACCACCGTCCTCAGAGCACCCCTGAGGTGGGCCACGGGGCTCTGTCACGTGAGAGACCCACCACAGTGCACCCACACGACCACCATCGTCCTCAGAGCACCCCTGAGGTGGGCCACGGGGCTCTGTCACGTGAGAGACCCACCACAGTGCACCCACATGACCACCATAGTCGTCCTCAGAGCACCCGCTGTGCTGCTCTGTCAGAGACCTACCACTGTGCGTCTCACATAGCCACCACCGTCCTCACGGCACCTAAGGTGAGGAGGGGACAACTTCTGTCAGAGACCCAGCTCTGTGTGTTCCACACCAGGCCCACCGTCCTCACGGCACCGTTTCAGTGGGGGCTGAGATGGCCCTGATTTTACAGAGGAGGAGACACGGGCTCAGGAGGTGCAAGGCAGCCACACTCCTGACAACACAAGGAGGAGGCCACACAGCGTGGCCCAAGTCCGTGCTCTCATTGAGAGAACAAGTGGGAGACAGACATGGTCTGCAGATGTAGCCCGTGGAGGGACATCTGCACTCTGTTCACTGCCAAGCTGGAGGGGAGGTGTAGTGGGCACCATGCAAGCTGTGGTCGGTGGAAACAGAAGAGGCCTGTGGTATGACCCCTGCAGGATGAGCAGTAGGGCTGACACGGCATTTCCACCTTTCCCTGTCTCCCAGGTACAGGGTAAGAGCTTACATCTGGCCTCTGCAAACAACAACAGAGGGGTTTCTGCGATGGGGAGGATGGACGGAAAGGGGAAAGGGTTCTGAGTGGGCGTCCATGACAACAGGAGCCTGAGGCTGGGCAGGGAAGCGGCAATGGGAACGTCCAGGTGACCACAGTGAACTGCTGCCCTGCAGCCGGCACCCAGTCACCCTCCCTCCCACCCCACTCACTGCCGTGTTCCTCGTGGTCCACCCTGCCCCACTTAGTGTTGTGTTCCAGGCCACCACAGGACCTGTCAGGCCAGTCAGATCAGAGGCTCAATGGCCGGATGTCACCTGGGCTAGTGACCACAGTGGATAGCATGGGTCTCAACAAATAGGAACTCAATGTAAATGCTGCCGCCGCCTTTCCCAAAAAAGTGCCCAATGAAACCTAAATGGGAGACGGTGTGGGTGGTCCCGCTCCGCCAGGTGCACCGCCCCCCAGCTGGACACTGCCCATTGGCTCCCGAGGGCACAGCCATCAGGACGCTGCCTGAGAGGCCACGGAGCCTGTGGCAGTGTACATGCTAACGCTCATCCTGGAACCAGAGCTGCCCTTCAGGACAGATCACGGCAGCCATTGCCCAGAGGGGCAGGGAGGCCGGCTGGGTGATGCACACAGGACCCCAAAGGGCTCTGTCCACCGTGACTCCTGCGGGTGTCCACCTCACCCCATCATGCCGTCACACTGGAAAGCAACGTTCATGATCCTTCCGTCAGCTCTTCACAACCAAGTGTTTGGTAACAATTTGGCACAAACTCGAACAACTCTTACTTCCTGCTATGGCACAATGTAATTGCTAAAGAGAAGATTACCAGGGATTTTAAAATAAACTCTTACTTGTGAAGCGACACTACGTAAAGTATGGAACGGCACAATTACACACAAGACTCAAGCTCTCCCTCGTGTGGGAGTTCAGACCTCAAGGTCTGCTCTAAACGCCACCCGAGTCCCACTCCCAGCCTCAGTCACGCTGGCCTTTCATAGGGTCCACCTGCCAAAACGCACAGGCCAGGTCCAAAGCTGCTGGCACTTCGTGCCCTCCCTCCCGTTTTCTGCCCTGCAGCTCAGGGATACCCAGAGCTACTGCACTGCAGTCTACCCGCGTCGTGTTCCGCACTCCTCCTGCAGAGCCATGCCTCCCCCAGACCGCTCCCCCGTGCTCCTGACGCCACCCCCCAGCCCACTGTCTCCTCCTGTCTGCCCTGACCCCTGGGGTCTCAGGCTGATGTGTCCATCCTGTGCCTTGCACCTCTCCAAAGTGCCATGACCCTGAAGGCCTGTCCAAGTCCCAGGCCTTCCAGAG